TGTAGATGTGAAAATATATTTGACTAGGAATCTATATGTGCTTTGTCAGGTGTGTGATGTATAGACATAAATCTGAGATGTACACATGTATGATAGAATGTTTTGAATGTTCTGTGGGTTTAATGTATTGGTCTTAACCATGTGCTAGTTTTTTTTTTCTAGTGAAGTATGCACTAGTTAGGGTCAATTAACTATCATTGTTTTAACTATTAACTAGGCTCTAGTACTTCAAAAGGGTATTTTCATATGAGTGGCATGTAAGTCAGTCTAGAATATGATCTGTTCAAAGGTGGAGCCACATGGTTTAATCTGTAAGTGCTGATTCTGTGTTTTAATTTGTTAGAAGAAAACATGTTACATGAGTTCCTCCTTGAAAGTGAGACCTAGCTGAGTAGTCTGTGTAGGTTGGATGTAAGGTGCTGGTTTTCATGTGTTTGCAGTTTTTTCTAATAAACCCATAGATAGAAAATGGATTTCTGAGTTCATTTTAAGAAGCATGCAGTGGTTTGCTATTGAAATTAGGGTGTCTGTGCATTATGAAATACTAAGAGTGATCTGAGACTTCTTTCATCCTGCAAGATTATAGGGAGAAACTGATAAAATATTTGGCATCTTGATGTCTGTTTTGAAAAGTGGAAATGAATCAGAAGTCTTAGATTTTATTTTCTATTAAGTATTAGTTAGCAGTTCATATTAAGTAGTTCATTGTTTTAGAAAAAGAAGTGTGTGTCTGGGAAAGTAAATTTTTTTTTCTAATCTTTTTTGCAGGATAAACTTCCTGATAGTATTGTTAATTAACCTACTTCTATGACTACTTTTTTTACTCGTGTGTTGTGGCTTAACTCCAGACAGAAACTGAGCACCACACAGCTGCTCACTCCTTTTGCGGTGGGATGGGAGGACAATTGGAAGGATAAAACTGAGAAAACTCATGGGCTGAGATAAAGACAGTTTAATAGATAAAGCAAAAGCTGATTGTGCAAGCAAAGCAAAACAAGGAACTAATTCACTGCTTCCATGGGCAGACAGGTGTTCAGCCATCTTCAGGAAAGCAGGACTCCATCATGCACAATGGTTACTTTGGAAGACAAATGCCACCACCAGGAACATCCCCTCTTTCTTCTTCCCTCAGCTTTATATGCTGAGCATGAGCATATGGTATGGCATATCCCTTTGGTCAGTTTGTGTCATCTGTCATGGCTGTGTCCCCTCCCCTCCACAAATCCTTCCAGCCTTCTTGCTGGTAGGGTGAGGAGTGGAAAAGGCCTTGACTCGCTAAGCCCTGCTCAGCAGTAATGAAAACATCCCTGTGTTTTCATCAACTCTATGTTCAGCACAAGTCCAAAACACAGCCCCTTACTAGCCACTGTGAAGAAACACACCTTCTACTAGATCAAGTTTCTCAAAGACTGTGGGAATATTCAAGGTAGGTGCCTTTAAGGCATGTGTGTGCTTGAAAAACCTTCTGGTTTTCTTTAACCTGGAAGAACTGTCTATGCCTTGACTGAGAGTCCCTTGACGGCTCTGTTTAGTCTTGTGTAAATAATTTCATTCTGGGATCTTTATGTCCATTTAGCTTTGTCTAAAAATAAGCACTTAGCCTCCAGGACAAACACTGTGGTATTTGCTTTCCTGCCACTGCTCCATACACATCAGGATGTATCTTGCTTCTTGCGTGCTGCTGGAAGGCTGGGCTATTTTGAACTTGATGATGTGTCCCCAAATTGAGCTGTTATAAATCTCTGCTTCCTATTAGACTTCTGCCATGTGTCAGTAACTCTTTTGAAATGTGACTGCATATTTATCTCTGTTTTCTAGTGGAACCTGTCCTAATACTTGACAGAAACAAGTATCTGCAGTCATTAATGTCATAGGGTCAATGTAGCTGCAAAAATGGTAAAGTTGTGAGGTGCTCATAATAAAATTGCCTTCTAAGTTACGGTTGACCATGAGTTTTGGTGATGGTGATAGTTTATGGACAGAAAAATGGCAAGTAATACCTAGATCCAAGTATTTTGTTGCTTGCTATTTGTTAACTTTTGTCAAAAAAAATACCAGGCAGAGTTCTGAGAATATGTAGACTAAAACAAATTAAAACTTGTGAATATTCTAAATTCTAATTATCCTTGAAACTAAGCTCTATGAAACTTAGGAAATAGAGTTTTGCAGTAAATTTAAGGTTAAGGAAAATATTTGAAGGTCTATAAATACATTTTTAAAGCATAGGAAAACCTAAAATGTGTTGAGGATTGCAAGATGATAAATTGAAAATACCAACTTCTATGAAAGTAATTTACTTTAATCTGGGACTTCAAACAGCTTCACTGTTCAAGTGTATGGGGTCAAGATTGGGTACTTTTAACTATTTTATCCCTTAACACATTTCTATTTTAAAAAAATAATTAACCTTGACTCTGAATCCTTTGAACTAATTTATTTTGGGGAAAAGATAATTCTGGCAATACTTTTTCCCTTAGGTGTGTTTTAATACACACTTAATATAGCTTGTTTCCAATGTAAGATAATGGTCATGTGTGACGAGGAGTTCTTAAGCTTTCTATGAAATGCTAGAGAACAAATTACATGATAGTGTTAATGAATTTGAGAAATTTGGCATTGATCTTAAATTTGTTATTGATTTCATGTTTTTAAACCAGGTGAAGCAGTGTATTCTGGCTGCTTTGTGCTAGAATGGAGCAAATGCAAAGCAGCTGGAATGTCTTGGATATGCAAGAAGGTTTAAAGGCTGTGCCTGTTACCAATGCAGCCCAGCTGTTGTGCGTGGCTGCGATTCTTGCCCTTAGCTTTCCACGTGTGTCCAGAACTCTCATACTTCTGGGATGAGTTCAAAACCAATGAGAACTTAATCTATGTATTTTGACAGGGACCTTTGCGTTGCTGTTATTGTGAATCTTAGAATTGCCACTCGCAGAACAGCTTGTGTGTGCCAGGTGGTGATTGGTTATGTGATGTCTGTGTTTAAGATACCCCTGCTACTGAGCTGTCTGTCCATTACAGTAATGACAACTTACATGTGTGTTATTGGAGATAGGTGAAAATGCCTTTTTTTCTAAAACTTGCATGTCTTTGTATCTGAGAACTCAGAATCTTTCATCTTTGTATTTAAAATCAAATGTATTGATTTCAAGTCTCAACAGAGTGGAATTCTGTTTCTAAATATCTTTCCATCAGCACAGCCAAAGGATTTTGAATTTTACTACTGCACAGGCAGCTGTGCTCTTCATAATTGGTTTGTGTGGGTGTCTGTGTTCAGCTCTCCAATGAAATTTGCCAGAAAAGAAATGAGACTCTGAATGAGATGGGAATTAAAGCAGAAAGTTGATGGTATAGATGATTTAGCAGTAATCTAATGTGGAGCTAATTGGCTAGTATCCAAATTGTGCTTCTGATTATTTGTTTCCCTCTGGGGGAAAATGTTATTGAAAACTAGATGGCTGCTCCCCTGAAGTAAAAAACATATGCTTCATGTCTTGGTATTTTGTTCTAACATCAATTTTTATCTTGTATGTCACAACTCTTTCCTATAATGTGCATGGATCATAATATTAAAACTAAAAATGTTGGATTGTAGTAGCAAAATACTGGCCATGTGTAGGCCAGCAGGAGTTTTGCATTTTACATCATTAGTGCCAGAATTTCACTCTAGGTTGCTATACAGTAGATGAATTTTTAATGTTTAACTTTTGGTTGTCATCCATAGTATACTCATTAGTCAGCAGAATGCAAAAGAGATGTTTTGCACCCAGAAAAGGAAGATGGTTTAAATGTTCATGGACTTGTACTGCTGCACAGATTGAAAACTTTGTCTCCAAGGAAAGCCTGCTGGAAAGATTTAAAATTAGGCTAAATATCTAAAGTGCTTCAGTCAAATTAGTTAATATGACTGAGGTAAAGCAGAACACTAGAATGAAAGGAAATGTAAAAATTGCATTATATAATTTTTTTTCTCTACTGAAGTATAATAATTTTAGTTTCCCTTCTTTGTGGTAAGATTTTCCTTTTGTCAATTGTCAGTTAGATGGAAAAGTTCATCAAAGTTGGGTCTCTTAGGAATGAACTCACCGGTTTCTATAAATGTGTCAGCCTCTGCTTTTTACTGGCTTTTTACTTATGATTATTGGTCAATGCCATTTTGTTCAGCAGAAAACATTTAGAATATTAATATGAATCATCCTTCATAATGCATTCAAAAGTTGTTACTTGCATGAGTAATATCTCTGAGAATATGTATGATTTTCACCTCACACCTGTGCAAGATGCTACATTTTGTGCCATACCCTGAGGTTAAATCGTGAGCAAACACACTGCCAAAATTTCTCCTTTGGAAATCAGATAGCTAGAGGACCTTAAGGAGACCTTTGTCCTGTGGGTTCAAAAATTGAAATATGCTTTAAGCATTATCCCAAGTGGAGTTCCAGTCTTCTATACCTTGGCTGCAGCAGAAGGGACCTTGTAGGGGGTATTTTCTGGGAACTTAATCTGACAGGATGTGGGATGTTTGTGGGGCTGTCAGGATAAGCTGCAATGGTAACCATTATTTGCATCTGTTCTGCAGCAAAAAGTGTAGAGTGGTTGTTTGGTTTGGTTTTTTGTTTTTTTTTTTACAAAGATAAATTTCATTTTCCCTGTGGTACATGTTCATTGCTTATATCAGTATGTTCTGATTTTAACTCAACATAAGTCAGTATTTATTTTTTTCATAGCAACACCCACAGTCCAGAGATTTTTGAAGGTGGAACTACAGATACATACTTGTGCCTTCATACTGGAATGATGGTAGTATTTTGTGTGTGTGCCTAATGTCATAAGTGCACGTGCTTTCGTCCTGTGGCTGTTGCAAAAGTAGCTGGTGTCTATCCCATCAACCGATGATGCTTGCCTTAGTTCTTTGAATAATTGCTGTTTGGAAGTAGTCAGTATTAACAGGTTTTAAAAATATTTCTGACCTTGTTTAAGGTATGTTTATTTTTTTCTTTTAGGTGGCCTGGCTCTAGCTCAAGTACTGTTTTTTTATGTGAAATACCTGGTTCTGTATGGTGTTCCTGCCCTCCTCCTTCAAATGGATGGACTCAAACCTTCAGCTCTGCCTTGCTGTGTGAGCCTGATGCACAGTTTCACTAAAATGTGGAGGTTAGTCCTTACTGCTTTTCAGACAGTTTATTACTGATATATGGCAGTCAGTGTATAAGAACATATGCGTGTGTTCATGTTCACATACATGTTTGCTTTCATGTGCTTGTGCTTTTTCTCTTACCCCCATGATTCTTCTTTAGCACTTTTAAAATGAACTTCAATTCAATGGTTACTTTTTTCACTCCGTGGACAGATAAAGCCAAGCATCTCTTTCAGCATTTTCATCCTCATAATTTTTTTCCTTTCAGAGAAGGAAAATAAACGCTTGATTGATCACATGAGGAAAGGTGTAGTTATAACACTTCAATATGCAGAGTCATATGGTAGAGAAAGCTTTCAACACACTAGAAGTACTATGAAAATGATACTTGTTTATAAAGTAGGATGAATTTCTGAATCTCTTTTGTTGTTAAGGAAGTTTCAGAACAATATTTCACCATAAACCTGTGAGTTTTGAATCATATGGTTGCTTTAAATCAGTGTTTCACTGAAGTCTTTTTACTGAAAACTGTCTCCCAGGGGATTCTGCTTAATATTTAGCTTCTGTGTAGCAGTGGATTCACTTGACTTCTCTCCTCCCTTGTTTTTCTCTGTGCTATCCAATATTCCTTCAGTCTGTGGAATTCTGTGCCCCAGACGTCTAAAAACATTTCTGAAATGATTTAGACTTGTCAGCTTTTTAGTGCAGACACTCCTCATGTTATGTTAATGCAGAGCCTCTCAGAATGGTGCTTACCCTGTCTTGTCTCTGACTGCTTTGCAATATGAATAAAGCTTTTCATTTTAGTCATAAAAACAGTGGGCCTGCTGTTATCAGTTTTATTGGATGAGATTTTAATTTTGTTTTCAGCTTGAAGTTAGCTGTAACAAGAAAGCTTTATAGTTTCTAATAGTTAGCAACTGTAGACCTGTAGTATTCAAAGAAAGGCATAGAGTGCAGAACACAGGTGAACTATTAAAAATTATTTGAGTTACTAACAACTGCCTTGGTTTAAATGCTCTTTCAGAGTTTGAACTTAAGACTTAGAGAGTTAATGTAAAAATTTGTCACTTTTACCAGGCATTCTCCTGAGAGCAGCATCTCTTGGCCTGCTGGCCCTTGCAAGCAAATTTGCAAACAGTAGCAGTTTTTCTCTGTCTCCAGTTCTTATTCCAGGGAATCTGTGTATTGCTCTGGAGGTGCCAAATGAAAATGAACTTCACAAATACCAATGACACTGCTGTGCCAGGTAGTCATAACAGGGCATGCAAAGGTACTCGACACCTGCAAATATGTGTGGTGTATCACAGTAAAAACATTGGGTGCCCCTTAAAAAATATTCATAACATTTGTAAAAAACCTGAAACTAATATCTAAGTGGAAAACTTAATTATTTCTTTATAGAAGCAAAAAATGTCAAGTGCTGATATTTACCTTTTGCCTAATTATTTAATTCATATCAAACATTCACTGTCAGAAATAATAAGTTACCTCATAGACTGAACTTGTTTACTTTGAGTGTTGAAAAAAGTCAGTTAATATATACCTGATTTGATTTCTTGCTCTCAAGGTCCTGTAGATACTAGAGCTTTCTGTAGCTGCTAGTGTTATGGGTCGTTCTCAATTATCTAACAAGTTTTGTGAATGCCCTGAATTATGATGCCCTTATGCCTTTACAGTTAAACTCTTCAATCACACTACCAAGAGGCTTTGCAGTCTTTTGTGGTATATTGGCATACTGTATAGGAATGTCGTGTTAGACGTAGGAATAATAGCCTTTGTTTCTGAACTGTATGACTGAACAGGACAGGAAGTTGGGAAATTGGGGGTTTAGCAGAAAAGCCAGCAAAAATGGGGGAAGTAAATGGCTCATGTTGCGAAGTCTTTAGAAAAGTGACACTGTGTTTCCTTAAGATGCTAAATAGGTTTTTGTAGTTTGTGAATACAAGGACTTTAATGTGAATGTTCATAGCAACTTTATTAGAGTGGGTCAAATTTAAATGTTAATAATGCAGTGCCTAGTTTTAAGCTGGTGGAGTGAGATGTGTACTAGACTTTGTTTTCATAAAACGGTAGCCTGGTAAAGCTTATTAAAGGCTTCTAAGGGACAGGTTGGGAAATGCAGTGTCCAGGAATGATCCAGTTGATATGGAGTACACCACTGTTACCTGGCTGGCATCAGGGACACTGCTCAGAAAAAAGTGCTTGTGTATGCTTGGCTCACTCTTACCCTTCTTACTGGTGTCCACTTGAGAATACTGTTAGAAACAGGGTTTTATGCTGGCTCGGCTTTTGAAGACCCAGTTATTGTTGTTTTTATGTCTCAAAGCTTTCAGCAGTGCAGATCTTGAAGGAGACGAGGTAGCCTGAAGGGAAAGGCAACATGAATGTCACAATGTAAGGAATGCAAATATGCTACTTAGGAGTCTTCCTCCACCACCACCTGGTGTCCTTTGAGCATAACAAAGCTTTTGATCCAACCCATCCAGACCAATGTCACTTATAATCAGTACATGCTGACATAATTCACTATGATACAGCAGGTGGAAGAGCTTTCAGTCAGGAAGGTAAGAAAAATACCACAGTGTATCTGAAATTTCTCTAGAGCTGAAAAGCAAAGCAGGAATCAAAGAACCAAATCAAGTATTCTGTCTCTCTGTTTATGGTACTAAACAATAAACTAAATTTTGTCCATTCAGACCTAAAAATTAAAGACTTTAATTAAAACAGTTATCAACCTTATAGTAGGTTCTCCCTAAGTCACATTTAATCAAGACAGTCTCTCAAGTCAAAAAATGATCAATCTTGTTTGCTGTCTCAAGACAAATACAGGTGTTGAATGTGTAACTGTGGTTTCATTTTACGAGGGTATCATTAGCTTGCTAAATATGCAGCTGCATAGCTAATAAGTGCATGATAAAGATATTGCTATTCAAAACCTTTATCACAGCTGTGAAATGGAGCCTCTGAGCTCCTGATTTCCAGAGAGAGTAGCAGTTCAGTGGCACATGAACTTAGTTTTTAGTGTCTGCTTTACCTTAAGTCATAAGGAATTAAAATTTAGTTTTTGTCCCCAAGGTTAAAAGCAAGGAAATGAATTCTGGGAGAGAACCAATGTTGCCGGAAACTTGCAAGTGCTTTTAAAGAATTAGCCAAGGCTGATGTCTGCCATACAACTTTTCAGGTGGGGGTGTGAATTGTGTAGTGCAACTGGAAAAAGTTACGGAAACTTGCAAATTACTTCAATATGAAAAAGTATTTTAGTGGAAGAGTAATGGTGTTGAAACTACAGGAACAATAGGTAGTACATAACTAAATCCTATATCAGTTTTGACTTTTTGGTAAATGACTGGCAATTTATTCCACAAAGAAACTTGTCAGTTTGTAAATTAGGACAACAGGCCTGCTGCTGTTTGTGGGGAAAAAAAAATTGTGCTTCTATTTTTATGTTTCTATGCCACGTTACTGAGTGTGACAAGTGCTCTTCTGCAAAGTTGTTGGACACACTGATTGGATATGTTTTGACATGCCATGGGAACACCATGGCATAAGAAACCAATTATCTCTGGTCATAGACTGATTTGAAATGTGCAGAAGCACAACACTTCTTGATGATGCTCAGAGGGCTGAAGTGCCTTTCCTGAGAGAGTTGGGGTTGTTCAACCTGGAGAAGAGAAGGCTCTAGGGAGACCTCATAGCTTAAAATGGGGCTTAAAAGAAAGAGGGAAACTTTTTTTACCTGGGCAGATAGTGATAGAACAAGGGGGAATGGCTTTAAAGTGAAAGATGAGAGGTTGAGAGGAAGTAATTCTTTACTCAGAGGTAAACTGGTGAGGCACTGGAACAGGTTGCCCAGAGAAGCTGTGGATGGCCCATCCCTGGAAGTGTTCAAGGACAGATTGGACAGAACCCTGACCAACCTATTCAAGCAGAAGGTGTCCCTGCCCATGGCTGAGGAGTTGGGACTAGACAGTCTTTAAAGGTCCCTTTCAACCCAAACCATTCTATGACCTCTTCTTTGTCTTTCCACCCTGAAATTTGTTCATTCCCAAGTATCTTATCCCAAAATAATTTGGAGCCAAGTGTGTTCGTGACAAATTGTGCTAAAACTTGACGCATGTTTAATATAGGTTAGTCTCAGGCAGGACGGAGGCTTTTCAGGAAGGCATTAAGGAGTAGTGTTTTGGAAAGTAAATTTCACCGTAAACAGAATTTCATCTAGGATAAAGAAAATGGAGTTGAAGAAATGCTGCCAGGGAAAAATAAAAGATGCAGTGGTAAACATCTGTCCATTTTCAAGTACTATGCTATAAATTCTAGATTCCACCTTGTATTTAATACCCTGATACTTGACCAGAGAAGAGTCTGACATGTCAACCCCCCATTTTCTTGCATGCTAACAGGTGGACTAGGAGGGCTGTATTTTGCATGTACAGACACACATTCACACTTCTGTATGAACACATGTTAAGTTTATCCCACAAGACGTTTTGGTGGCATCCAAAAATATCGTGTGGGTTGTGATTTGCAAGAGATTGTCTGCAATTCAGTCTCGTTTACCTGCCTCATTATTGCTGAAGCATTTGCTTTACATGAAAAAAATGTGCAAGGTCTCAGTGGATTGTTCCAAGTTATGGATTAGAGTTTTGCTGTGGACTAATCACATTCTTCGCTATAACCAATCCGTAGAAAATGAATCTACAAGTGATAATGTAAATTTATCTGTATCTGTTTCTTCCGCATCCTGATACTTTTTGTCTACGTTTACTGTTGTTCCTGAAACCTTCCTCCCTCTGGGAATGGTTCCTTGTGTATGTCTATCGAAAAGGACTGTACCAGGGTTTTTTCCCCTAGTTTCAGATTCTTTTCTGGGAGAAGACAAGTCTGATACTGATGTTATGTGTGAGTGTGAGCACAAGAGATCACTGTGACCATATGCAGTAATTCTGGAATGATGAATAGCATGCAAAAACTTCCCATCTTTTATTGCCGACTTAAACTCTTGATAGCATTTATT